GACGGAATTTTTTGTTGCTAAGCAAGAGGTTTATAGATATCCACCATCTACACCGGAAAATATGAAGGAAAGGATTAAGGATGCTTTTCTGAACCTAAGGGAACACATGCTGAGAGATGTGCAACGGTCATTTATCCAAAGACTACGGCTGTGTATTCAACATGGTGGAGATATGTTTGATTAGTTTTTGTAGATTAGGTCTTGAGTATTGATAGTTATTTGCTTATGTTGTTTTTATAGGTGTTTTTCTCTATTACGCTTGAAGCTGATTTATACTGTTCTGATTGTTATTAGTTTTTACGTCAAATCTGTACTCCTAGTGGCAATATGAAACTAACTATCTTTTGTTTCCATGGATGATGTGATTTTGGTATGTTGTTCTGTTAAAAGCTTAATAACTCAGAATCTAGTGATTTTATCTGAATCAAACCTTATACCAAAAAAAGCTTATAAAATGATGCGTTTTAAATTTTTGAGAAAAAGTACAATTCGCGTTTTTGACCACCCTGTATGAGCAAAAATGAAAATTTGAAAAAGTAACAAATAAGGTAAAAGCTGAGGTGTGTAAGTTTTTTTTAATAAAACATTCAGCACTCCAAATTTCAAAATGGCGGCTTGATGGGTTGCCGAAGTGGACGGTTTTTCTGGGCAAAACACCTTACATCTCAGTAGCTAATTACCAAAACCCCATAGTATGCTATATCAATCTTCGTCTTTTGAATTGTTTTATCCAAATATGCAATAAAATTTGAGGCATTTCTTTTAAAAAATCACAACTTTGATATGTAGGTCAAAATTATAATTGCCAATATTTTAGAAATGTGCCCTCAAATGTCATGTATAACATCCCATTAATAGATTTTCCCAAAATGTATTTGTTTATGAGTAATATTCAGTTCACACATGGATGGGCCACCCTGTACAATGTATATAATGTATACAATTTATAACAAATCATAGTTCAACTACTTGCATACAGCGCTGGCGAAAGTCCCTTTAGATTTCCATGTGTACGAGGAAGAGAGAGAGAGAGAGAGAGAGAGGTAGAAGAGGGACCACTTGTGTAGGAAGAGTGCGCCACACACCACGTTGCCTGGCACAACAGTGATGAAGGCCACAGAACACGGCTGTAACTTGCTGTTTTCTACGCCCAAATACACATTTCTGTCGAATCTGTTTAGGATCAATTCAGGATTGATCCTTTTGCAACATTGCATCGTTGGTTTGACTGTGAAAGCAGTTCATAAATAATGAGCTTTAAATAAAATAGGAACATTTCTTAAGTAAAATAAAACAAAATACTTTCTGGAAACAAAATCCACGCTGAGTGAAGTCAGCCAAAGGGCTAATTTCACTCAGCGGAATTGGACAACTTTTTTTGCAGACACTACATGGAATATTTCTTTCAATTTTTAAATAAAATGAACCCTAGTTCATCGATTTCTTTATTCTTGAAGCGTCCAACCTTATTTTTTTAAAGTTGCAGGTTCACTGTTCACCAACTTTCTGACGTTTACGAATAAACTTAACCTGACTTATTCTATTCTATATTGTCTTCATCATTCTATACGCATTGTATTCATCAAAACGTAGAGAATTAATGTATACCCGTAAACGCCCATCACTGCGACAAGCACGTTGCAAAATACTGCACCGATGATATAGAGTGCTTCTGCGGCGAGAACGGACAATATGGCCTGCGCGAAATAGAGGCTTCCGTTCACTACTAAATACAAGCAGCTACCTCAGTCGTGATAAAACAGGCGACGCCTGTAACAACTACAAAGAAAGCTGATTAGCCTGCTTTATCTCGACCTCAGGTTAATAAGACTGAGGATGACGGATTTCAGGTTGTCAGAAAAAGAAAAGACAAGCGACCGGATAGGAGCAACACTTCCACAACACCAAAATAAAGATAATAGAAGCAAACTTGAACAGGTGCAGACCGGCACACGGTTTCTTGGATCAGTTCGCAAAAGAAAATCCGATGGACGTTACTCTGGCTTCAAAACCGAGTATAAAGATAATAGAAAGCGGCCCATGAAAATCAGATATACAACCAAACAGCTGAAACATCTATTAAGGTAATAATGCATGCTCTGTATGTATTTCTCCAAACATAACAATTGACGCTTACTCAGAAAGACTATATGAATTGCAAACTCTTATCGGACCGCAATATAAAGCAGTACTGGGTTGGGGGAGATTTCAATTCAAAGTCGACAGCTTGGGGATCCTAAATTACTGACAAAAGAGGACAGGTCCTTGAAGAAATTCGCGCAGCAAGGAGCCTTGTCTTAGCAAACAATAGTGGCGAGCCAATCTTTGTTAGAGGAAGCCAGCCCGACATTTCTTTTCATAGTGAGAACATGATTGATTAAACCAAAAACTGGAAAGTAATGGGTGGTGAAAACCTGCACGACCATAGGTATATTATGTTTGAAATAACAACTGTCAAACATGAAAGACCACAGACACATAAGGTCCGAAGGTGGAAGATAAAAGGAGCTAAATTGGAAGCATTCCCCGGAAATCTGCAGTTAGCCCTATGGAACAAAAAACTGGATAATTAGAAAGGCAAAGTTGAACTGCTCATAATGAGCTCTAAACCGAGGATATGAGAAGACTTATTATATAACTTATAAAACGACGTTTGGGGTCAAGAATACAAGATAGCCATGAAAAAGCTAAAACTCACAGACAGACCGTAGTGGATACTGAACAGCAAATTAAAATTTGCAGAGATTGTTTCCGAAGTACTCACACACCGAATGGAAATTTGAGGAAACTCTGGACGTACCAGAGCTCACCATGAATAAGCTGGAAGAAGTTGCAACGCACTTGAAAACAAGTTAGGCACCAGGACTAGATATTATACCAAATGAGATCATGAAAGCGCTGGTTAAAGAGATACCCGAAATGGTGCTGATAACATGATGAATGAATGCTTGATAACGGGAGTCTTTCCGATGAGGTGGAAGAAGGTTGGTTTAGTACTCATTTCTAATCCTCCGAAACCTACCGATAGAGAGGTCAAATATAGACCTCTTTGTATGCTGAATTCACTAGAAAGCTACTACAACGACTCATAGGAGGTAGGCTTAGAAAATACGTCGAGGAAATGAACGGGCTGTCTCCCTCGCAATATGGCCTTAGAAGGAGAAGGTCTGCCATACATACACTTAGTGCAGTGGCACAGCTGCCGAAAGTAGCGGATACCGGCAGCTACAGTAGTAAGACGTGTTTCTGAGTGCATAATACACCGAGAAGGCCCAACAAATTACGAATGTATTACATGTTTTTCGACGATTGGATTTTTCTGAAATGTTGGTTCTTTTACTTACCTAACCCTAAGAGGCATACAAAAATTTGTAATAAATTCATTATTACTGGGCATTATTTTCCCTGTCACTTAGTGTAGCTACTAGGGTTATCCCAAAAATAGAGTCTCCACATTTTTTCAAGCAAGAAAAAAATTTTTTTGAAGAATTTGAAGAAACCAATTTATTGCTGGAAACGTTGATCTTTCAGCTATTTTTCTACATAGTCTCCATTATTTTTACGTATTTTTTTAACCGTTGAATCCACCTTTTCACCTCCGCCGCAAGGAAATCAGCCGCCAGTCCGTTTTTTTTATATTCCAACTACTACGAAGGCCTAAGGCCTAAGCACCCATTGGGTACCATGGGGCTATAGGGGGATACATGGGAAAGGGGGGGACGCCACACGGACTCTGGCGAGGGAACACGTGTGCATGCAACATGCACACATTCTGGCTCCGCCTACGAGAACCGCCGGGTGGTACCTCCGCGTTCGACAGTCAGAGACCATCTATCACCTACGGACAATCACAACATCCATAGCCAAGAGAAAAATTTCTCCTGGGACGGGACTCGAACCCGCACAGCGCACGGCGACTGATCAGGAGACCGATGAGTCTACTACTGCGGCCACCGCTGCTGCCTAAACTTGGAACTGGACTCGGAAACTTTGTAACTGCTCCTTGCAACTCATCGTCCATCTCGAACCTTTGACCGCCTAGGTGCTCCTTTAATTTCGGAAACGCTGTTAGGGCTGTAAGGGGGACGGGCAATGGCGTCCCAGCCAAATCGCTTGATTCAGTTCTTCGTTTGTTGTGACGCTTTGCAGAGATTTCCCCTATTTTGGATTGCGCGTCTCAGTTTTTTCAGAAGCCTCAGGAATTTCACCCGCCTGTTCCCGAATCGTGATTTGTCGATCTTCGAGCAAGACTTCATCATTTGAGTACATGTTAAAGGCTTTTACATGTTTACCATATACTTCACTCAATTGGCGATGAATTTGTATGGGTGGCAGTGTTTTTACGTGCAAAAATCACCGCATGAATTTCGCACCTGGCAGTGACCGCAATGAAGAGCTCCATTTCGCATGGCTGTCAGTCCGGTATTGAGTGTTGCTAAAGGCGCTTCTTGTTGGGGAACCGGACAAATCCGACCGTGTTGCCAGATTTCGCCTAGTATCACGTGCGTCGAGACCCCTATTTTTGAAATAACCCTCGTACCATGATTTCTTAAAAACTGTCTGCCAATTTTCATATTGATATATTCCAATTAGAGTTTTAAAATAATTGCTCTAATAGCATACAAGAGCTGAGCAGCAGTCGGATACAAAAGCTTAAATACGAAATTGGCTTCCCTTCGCAGACACACCGCCGTCTGAGCGATAAAATTTAATTTCCTTTCTGGAACGTTTCAAGATACAGTCTGAGAGATTATTGGAAATTGGTATGACTCTATTACCGAGCGATAGAAAGCGCGCACTCATTTGTCACTTGAAGCCACCGCCACAGCTCACAGCCGCCTCAGATTGATAATCCGTCCGATAATTTCTAGGATTAGATACACTACGATCTTCTGCAGTCAGTTCCTAGCACGGTACGGATGGTTTCCGATTAACTTCAGCTTTGGGTTCATGCTCGCTAACTACAGGATGTGATGATAAAAGAGAGATGTTTCTTACAGTATGTAACCGTGACCATCACACAGCCGGAGGTAGTCAAACTTATCATCACATCTATCTCCAGCATCTGTCACAACGATCGCGCAACATGCAAAACATTTCAAAGCCTAGGTAAGTCTTCTCGACGAAACCTGACATTTTTCAGGACTTCCTGAGCGCTTAAGTAGCTTAAATCAAAAGCAGGCTGAACCTTCTCTGCATCCCGATTTATCAGAATGTTGTCCATAATTGCATATTCAATATCTTCATTGGTACCTAAAATAACTGCCATGACAAACTTTGTAGCTAGATCAACAAAAAATGAAATTGCAAAACACGAAGAAGTACAAAAAACAATAGCAAAACTTTAAAATTAACAAGATTATTGGAATTAAATCATAGTCTTTGTACAGGTTTAAACAAGATAAAAGTTTATTGTATCCTAATATATCTAGGTTAGAAATTGTGTGCGGAAATGCACCTAATAACTGTGAGTCTGGAACAATTTTAAGGTCTACTTGTCATAATTAGTGTAAGGTCGACAATAGTAGTTGATGTCAGTATTTCAATAACTCCCTGATGTCATAAAAAACTTACATAATGTCAAAAACGAAATAATGTCACGTTTTGTTACGTAATACCCCTGCCAAACGTTATCTGAAGTGTGATAGAGTCATCCAGAAAATACATTTCTCATAAAATGGACATCAACTCCAAACCGATGGCTACATACCTACTATATGAAGCATTTCTCTTTTATTGGAACTCCTAAATCTCAGCTAAGAGCGAACATATAATAGCTAACATATGACGAACATGGAACGAGTGAATCCCAGTCTCAATCACCAGTGTTATTTCGCCGAATTGTCAAATCTGTCCTCTCCTGCTACTGCTAACGTTCCACTAAATAACTCTCATTGCCCAGAAGATTTAAGGGAAGCATATTGAAGATGAACATTCATTGAAAATATAGTAGACTTTTTTATAAAAATTATGGCATGCTAGACTCCCGATGGTATTCCAATACCATCCAGCGTTGTGTCTGCATCTGCGTTCTAGATAAGGCAACCTCACATTACAGCTCGTAGTGATGAATGCATTGTATACATCATGTATAGTATACTCTTATACAATTGTAATTGTATACGTCTTGATCTTCATATAGATAATGTATATTAAATGATAGTTCGGACAGCAACGGGACCGACTGAAAGTGTCAAGAGGGATGTCCGTATGAAAGAAATACAACAAAAATCGTGTTTTTAATGAAAACTGAATACATTATAGAAACTGGGACATTTAAAACATATACTTTGAAGTTGAGTCATTAATTTTCAGATAATGATTGTAGAAGGAAGATAAACCAAAATATGTGTGTAAAAATAAAAAATAAAAATAAAAAAAAAATGTTACCTTGTTTAATAAAGTATCCTCCCGACAAGTATTTCAGTGCGGACCTGTATTTGATCGTGCGGTCTTGGAGCAGCATGCCCTCACCTGTGAGGTCTTAAGTCACCTGATTCACGAGCCCTTTGCACTACATTAACAAAGGCACGAGGGGTTGGTTGCACTCGATTGGGAAACCAATTCGCATAAATCCGTGATGCATCCGGGAGCATTTTGTAAAGACTGCCCCCCCGTAAATAAGAATCATGTCCACAGGTTCAGCATTTTCGTAAACATGTGCCATTTTTGATTTCGTTTGAGCCACGCAACACACTACTATTCACTCAGGATTTATCGACTGACGAAAAACATCGTGATAAACGTTTCAAATTCTTTCGCTTTTTTGTTTCCGATGCGATGAACCGGTCAGGCGGATTATATCCGTTGTCGCCAAACACGAGCATATAATAGGCAGGGCGGTACTCAAACTTCCAAAGGGCTATAACTTTGTTACTTTAATTTTACCAGAAAAATGGTAAAGGAAAAAAACATTTCTTTTGATCAGATCTACTCACTGTTAAAATAAATGACTCAACTTCGAAGTCACCCTGTATGTGTATACAATTATAGGACGCCTTTATGGCCTCCTTGATTTACATAGTTTTCTACTTTTCCGTGTCACCGCTCTATTTTCAGGTCAAATATCTATTTGCATCAAATTGCTCATGCTCTTAATTTATATCATGTTTTATTAGCCTGAAATTTATTCAATTCAAAAAGAAAACATAGCTTCACAATAGGAGAGCGCTGACGCTGGCACGGAACAGGTGCAATCTAGAAATGTTTGAAGGAGAGAAAATACTATAACAATCAAAGAGGCCATAAAGGCGTGCTACAATTGTAGGAACGACAGGCGATATGGCCCTCATACTCTTATAATTTTGAACAGTGTATCATGTGATTATGTATTAAAAACAAAATACCTAATAGTAATCATATTACATACTACTTCTAAGTCCATATTGTAAAGACATGCCTCTAGCGTAAGTATTGATAACATTATTCTTTCATCTGTGAAAGTTTTTCCCAATAGAGTACTAAATATTTGACGTGTTAACACACAATGTTACAGTAGTAGACAATGAATAGATGTGCTAGATGTTAAAAAGTTATCTAACATACCACTTGAAATCGCACAGATAGAGTAACTTTTCTCGTACCGTAATGTTGACGCGCTTTTTTACCATTTTAGAAAGTAATTAAATTAACCATACGCGCTCTAAGTTGTGTGCTGATTCCGGCTTCATCACCAGGAATACAAAGAGTGTCATTATTTCATACACCAATACGAAACCGATGGACATTTGGTACATCTGACAGGTTGATATATGTGAATATTTCATTTGGAGCCTCTATTTTTCGTTAGATTTCAGCAAAATGTAAAATACTAAAGGCAACAGAGCCCAGTGGATGCATAACCCGGGGTACCGACGGAGGCATTAGGGGCGTCACGGGAATAAATTTAAAAATTTTATTTGCATTTTTTCAAGTTTTGTGCAACGATTTTGAGAAAAACTCCACTGCGGATAGTCTTATAAAGCATAGTAGATTATATTTCAACAGTTCGCAGAGCTTGCTCTACTGGGACCAAGGTTTGACGGATACCACAGAATCATGTGTCAGTTGTCGATATGGGGAGTTTTGAAATATCAGGAGATAATCAGCTGTTATTCAAATAATATCTAATATAGCCTAGAACGAGTACTCCGTGAAAAAAAATTATTGCAAATTCTATTCTTTGCAGGTCTTAAGTTGGTTAGGCTGCAATTATAGTGTGGATGTTTGTTCACTTTCTGAACAAGAAAAATATACATCTTTTTGATGTATGGATATCAAAAATCCTTTTGTGCAAATAACAATCTAATATGCCATAATGGCACTGATGGACGGCAATTAAATGAATGAATGTTTGGGAACGAGCAATATCTATAAAATTTTTGGTAGAGTATTTGTCATCAAGTAGGTGTTCAATGGCGATCTGCAAGAGGTATATAGGAAAAACCACACGGTAGGTAATGTTAAATCAGTAAAATCGCATATCAGTTGAAGAAAATAAGATAAACATGAATAAACAACCAACAATAGTAAGAAAAACATGAATTTTATTCAAAAATCAAACATTTTTTGTAATTTTGACAGAATCATATATAACTTCTTAATATTCAATTGGTGATGTTTCAATGACAAGTTGTCATCTCATATTTGGACAATATTTTATTTCCAATATTTCACAGCTATTGTTTGATAAAATTTGTTGAATGGATCTTAAAGCTCCTTCGCCATATTTGACTGTTACCTTAAAGGTGGAAAATAACGGCGTACTGATTTGACAATCCTGGTAAAATCCACCCTAAGTGACATATAAGATGCAACAACTAGAATCATTTATTGAATTTTGATAAAAACTTGTAAACACATTTGGAAGGATACGCTGATGAAATGTTGAAGGCATTCCGGACCGTACTTTTTTGTAAACGCTCCGAACAATTTGAACATGATTTTTTTTTCAAAGAAATCGCTAATCGGGTAAATCGAAATGAACCTACTGTGATGAGATGTTGTCGAGCGTGGTTCCAAGAAGGCCGAAATCGACGAGTTAGCGGTACTGGACGTCAATGACAGACTACAGAGCGACATGATCATTATTTGAGCCAACTAGCACTTAGGCCCGTATCATCAGTCGTCCCTACAATTGTAGGGCGCCTTTATGGCCTTGATTTCGATAATATTATGTACCTTCGGTAAGGTACATGTAAGTCCTGCTTTTGATTTCTAGTCTGCTGTCAATCAGAAGTCAATTGTGATGTTAGGTTATGTTTATGTTTATTTTTTGACGTTTAAGAAATTTTAGACATGAATCAAAATATCAAATGCCCAAGGATATTTTCTTGCAATTAACCCTAGGTTAGTCGCGTCTCTTATCCGCACATTATTAGTCGCGAGGGTGACAAGTGTCAACCATCCTAAAAAACAACCTATACAAGATTTTTCCAAAAATATTTATTAAATAAGAAACAAGATATTCTCTATAAGCCTTGACATAAAATGTAGGTTGATTTTAACAACAACATATATTTAAAACATAAGATAACTGTGAATTACTACTTCAGTCATTGTTTTCATAACATCGCACACAAATTTCTTTTAGGTGGTCATTGCAAGCAAAATTTTGACACTGCGCGCAAAGTTTTCTAGTTGTTTTATCTCGTGCTCTTCCGCAGTAGTAACAGCGCCCTCTTGCTCCTCTTCGATCTCTTTGTTCAACTACAGAAGTTGAGGGTTCCAAACCCAGCAATACCATTGACCTGCGGCGAAGTTCCCGTGGAATTTGTGAAATGTAAGCTCTTCGTTTTATTTGTGGTGTCAACATATCCCATGCTAAGCTTTGCAAAAATTCAGTTCGGCGTAATTTTCCCTCGATTTGTTTGTTGAGCTTATAAATTATCATAGCATTTACAGCGGAAACATTTAATAAATTATAAAATACAACCATAGGTGAACGTCTCGTATTTCTTGCTACATTCTTTTTTTTGGCATATTTGGTCTACTAAATCTACTCCAATCTTGGTACTATTGTGAAATGTTATAATATCCGGCTTTTGATATTCTCCTGTGTCTTCACTGATTGCACTATCGTGATGCATGGTAGAAACTGCTAGAACTGCTTTATTCTTTTGTGGACAGTAAGAAACAATTGTACAGTTTTCCTGGAATCCAAAAATTTAAGTCAATTTATCCCGGTCTTTTTGGGGAAGAAACTCCTTAGGAATTTCTCTTTTATTTTTTCTAAGAGTACCTACGTATGTTAATTTCTTTTCAGTCAGCAGTTCATTGACTAATGGAATACTAGTGAACCAGTTATCTCCTGTGATGTTTCTATTTGTACCCTGAACTGGTTCCACCATCCTCAGCACAATATATATGGCATTGTTACTTTGCTGATATGGACCTGGAGGTTGCAATCCAACATACGTTTCCAGTTTCATAGTATAAGCTGTTTTAGCATCAACCAAAGCAAATGTTTTAATGCCATATTTACTTGGCTTATTGGGGATGTACTGGCGTAAAGCTGCACGACCTCTAAACGCAAGCAATTGCTCGTCTATAGTTAGATATTCACTCGGTGAGAAATATTTCTCAAAATTATTGGTGAATAGTTCAAACACTTCCCTAATTGCTGCCATTTTATCAAGTTCTTTACGCATGTTACGGTCATTGATGTTGTCAAATCTCAAACATCTCAAAAGGAAACGGAACCTTTGTTCACTCATAGTAAGATAACATGATTCAATGCCATTTCCCTTGGAGTTATCCCATAGTAAATGAATATTTTTACGAGAACACCTCATGATGCCTATAAGGAACAACAATCCAATAAATGCCCTTATTTCTATCTCATCAGTACTCCTTGCACCTCTGTCCCTTGTAAATTCTTGACGTGTTTTCTCTATATAAATATTAGTGCACGCTGTAATTGTGTTGAGAATATTGTCGTCTAAAAAGAGTTCTGAAGCTGCTACTTCTGTTTTCACTTCTCGTGCTTTACCTTTGGGTCCTGGTGAATGAATAATAATGTTATGGGACCTTGTTTTCACATTTCTTGGAGGGTTCGCTTTTCTCCATTTCGTTATTTTGTCCTTCCCAATGTAGAAACTAGCAGAATCTAAAGGCACGTCTTCACTTTCAACTTCTTCACTTTCCGCAACCTCTTGTTCCGATTCTGTATTATGCTCACTCTCTGTCAGTATATTTTCTTCCTCTTTGTCACTTTCATCTTCATCCTTAGAGCTTTCACTCAGATCACTTTCATCACTTAGTTCATGGTACCACTTCAGCCATACATTGGGATCATTACTGGTCTCTACTTTTCTTTTTTTCTGTTCAGACATGGCCTTGCTACTACTTCCAAATACCTAAAGCAAAAATACCTTAGCATAGGGAGAAAAAATATTAAAAATTGAATTACCTTTGCCACAGTACAACAACACCTTAATAATAATTTAACAACGTAGAAGGTCGCGCGGGGGACACTTGTCAACCACTCAGCTTTGCTCAGCGATATCTCCACTAAACACGCACAAGCCGTACTAAAAATTTGACGGCACAGACATCTATCATAACATGAAAGATACTCGGAGCGATGTTGCCAAGTGAGCTGAAACATTTAAATAGTGGCATATTAAATGAAAGTGGGTGACGATTGTCACCCGCGCGACTGACCTAGGGTTAATGTTAATCATTCAATAATAATTTCCTACATTGAACAAATTTGTCAGGCTGTGGTATCTTCAAGTCCCATATCTGGTACTAATGATCTAAAATCAACAATTTAATGCAAATGGATGTGTATTTATATATATTTGCCTAACAGCTTACAACCAAGCTGTTCCTTGATGAAGCTGGTCAGTTACAAAATTTTTAAACATTGCATATTAATATTTATACACTTATCGCTTTTTTTCAGATGTGGTTCGTTCTCCCAGACTTTATGAGATTTTGGATAAGAAACATTGTATCTCAACTGCATTGTTGATGTCAGCTGTTCACAAATCATTGTCAGACTTTGAATTGTCTAGTGTCAGGCTACAAGTATGTATAATGTGTAAATGCTCTGAAATTGAGTTTAAACATGCCCTGATCTATCTGGTATTTTTTATATTAGTGGGAACCTTAACCTAAAAATTTCAGACTGTAACTCTGAAAAATATCATTATAAAATTGTAGCCCACACCAAGGTGTAAATTTTTTAATGTGTCTTGAATCTATGCATCTTTTTGCAGATATAAACCATCGTGATATTGCATACAAAAATCCATATCTATTTTGGAAGGATAAAGAGGCGAATGATCTTCCTAAGAATGGATTCATGCATCCAGGCACTTGAAAGCATGTTTGAAGGAGCGAACCTTACTGAAATAAGTGAATTTGCTTTTTGTGTCTGACATGTGTTACACTGGAATTTGTAAATTTAAGGTAGGCATAACCCTGTATATTCATTAAAGGTAAAAACTCGCTAAAGTGGGTTTTTGAATATTTTATTCAACATTTCTATTTGTACAAAATCTCACAAAGCTGATGCCATAGGTTAAATATGAATCCAGTGATCTAGCAAAAATGCTGTATGGAATACATATTTTAACACTTATGCTTATATTGGTACTTAGGAGTAAAGCTTAAGAAATCACCATTACTTATAATACCATTTTTTCACATCTACTTGCATTGCTCATCCAATCCTGATAAGCCCAGGGTACAAGATATTGTTCCAGGACAGTAACTCCAGTGTAAGGAATGTTATTATAGGGAAAAAAGAAGAGTCAATATATTTAAATTGAATATTTCAAGACGTTTGATACCTAGAATTAATTAACTTTCCAAAATGATCTAATGTGCCCCCAAAATAGACAGATTTCTTTGCAATTGATCATTTATCCTTTTAGCGCTGTTTACATAGCTTGTAATTTAGAAAACAACATATAATCTAGTTAACGTCAAGGATTAAAAAATGATGAAATCTATATTCTAGATATTTTTGAATGAACCTATTGTATCTCTTTGGGTATACAATGTAGAATAAAAAATATTTATTTTACCAAGTATTTATTTATTTATTTATATTCTGCAAGTACCAACTGGAAAATATGATACATGAAATTGTTAAGGAATTTATAGATAGTATGTCAAAATACATAAGTATCAGTAATCAAATGAAGTCTTTATATCTAGGTACAAATAATAGGAAATATGAACAAATATATGGTCAAAAAACATATCCATATCCTTTAATAAATTCAAATTTACTTACATAAAATATATAAGGTGTTTTCCAACTGAATGTCAATATTTAAGAGTGCGACTTTTGGTTCAATTTTAAGAAGAAAACTTCATATAATTGTATGTCCTAAACGTCTTGACTTTTGAGAAACGGAGTGGTAAGCTTTTTAAAAATCAAACATTTTTTTGTTACGATCTGTAATATCACTTTAAATACTTTATTAACATTCTGCAAATATGCACCATCAAAAGGAATTTTTAATGTACGAATTTTCTTTTGAATTCCACCAGCGACGTTCGTACCGACTTCACTTGCTTATTTTGGCAGACAATGATAGTACGCAACCGATGTCTCTTAAAATAAAAACTTTTAATTGAAATCTCGTCATTTCTAGGCAAATTTGATTGCTTAATTTTTGTTCACTCCGATGCACGGTATTCGCTTACAAAAATAAAATAACGTTTCTTTGCATGATCCTAATATAGTTAGTATGACAACGTTACTATGTCGAGAAATAGATTGTATTTTTCAGGTGAAAGCCGTGCGTCAGACTAAAAGAGTTGAATTGTCCGACCCACTATTTCCACCCAAAAAATTGTCTGCATGGTGACATTTTCATGTTAACAATATTGTTATGATCGTTTTTATAAAAACCGTGCATCAGACTGAAAAAAAAAGCATTTCGTATCGATTTTTGCTTGGAAGTGATTGAAAATTTTAATAAGAGAGAAATAAACAGCATACTATCACTGTCAATCAAAACAGGCAGGTAAAATTAAAAGAATGCCTCTTGACACGTTTACATGTATGCCAAATTTCATTAAGTGGTAATACGGATATTCATAATCAAGGATTTATCTTTTTGACCTTTTTTACCACCCTGTATTTCAAAAGTTAAAACATTTAGGATATGGAAATGGACCTAAAACCACCCCCCTAGGACGTCCAATTAGGAAACAAACTAAATTGCAGTTACCAATACTTCAAGAGATGAATGCATACTTTCGAGCCAAAGATTTATATGTTTATTTACTGTGACTATCATAACTAGCAAAATCTGCTCTTCATATGAGTGTTTCAAATATCAAACCTGTTCAGTTTTTGATATTTCTTTCTCAAACAGTAAATGTTTTTCTTTCCTATGCCACAGTTTTAATAAATTTTCCCTTTTATGTTAAGATTACAAGTCAATGAACAAATTGGAAAAGAACTGTATTTAGCTGTCCTCTCTTTTTCTTCATATACCTCATCCTACAACAATAATATATGGTACAACACATTTGATAAATACAACATATTGTTCTTTGAGGCTCAGTGTATTGAACTCTTTGTTGTTGATGATACCACTGAAGTATGCCTCAGTAGCTGAAGGCTCCATTATTGATAGTGATTTAAATCCAAAATGTATACCCAGCAGTTTAAATACAAATCACATTCTGTACCTCAGAGCCAGGTTAGGTTAAATTCATTTTTGCCTAAGATGAATCTTACATGTTAAGTTCATGATAAAGTTTTAATCACATTGTGTTACTTTCTGTCACATCATGGTGACAGAGGCATACTAAGTTATAGATATAGGAACTGGCATTATGATTTTTTGTTATCTTTTGATATTCCAAATGCTGTCCCTGTTTGACATCACTTGTTTACAGCACAACTCGATTTATACGTATATACGAGTATTGAGACTTGGGACAAATCTAAGCTATACAGATTGCACTTAAAAAGTGATTTATGTTCTGTTCGTTTGCTGAATAGTAATTTGTAAAGCTTGACTGATTTTTCGGGGTTGGTATTGCACCGATGAATGCCTAAATTGGAAATATATAGACATTTATGAGATTTCTTTAGCGGTACGCCTGTGGCCTGTCTAGAAACTGCGTCGATCGATGCTCAAAGTCAGTACCACACGTCGGACATCTCTTCTCGCGTAAGTGTCTATTTATGTTGCTATATTGAACTCGTTTAAATCACAGAGCTGCTGCACTATACGTGAATATGTACAGCACTTTATTCCTGTACTTAGTACAAACATACATTACCAAAATAATTACGATCGAACAGATACAGTTTTTTGCCTTCCCAACGATTTCCAGCATTTCTACATGCGATCAACACCGGTTCGAAAACTGAGAAAACAACTATGCCGTAAATCTGAGTTCGACAACGAAAGTTTGAAAAATAACTGTTACATCTATATTGAATTTCAAAAACCCCAACCCCTACTGAGCTGGGCCGTGGCAAATGCTTGTTCCGGAAGTTGTTGTATCCAGCATACAACTTCTTCCCGTACAAGTGATTGTACACGCGTTAAGGAATACCTCAGTACCGATTGCTGGGTGGCGGTACAAGTCCGCCAACGGGCCACTTTAGGTCTATTTAATATCATTAACAGGCAAAAAGAAGGTGGTAGACAAGGACCAGTCGACGGAGGCGGTACCACCCTATAGCTTTTCCCAGAGTGTCCCATAAATGTCCGCATGTTTCCACACCTAAGCTATGCAGTCACTTATCTCCCAAAACAAAGAAATTAATGATGATGGATTCCTCGAGTACTAAGAATTCCGGATGTAGGCTCACTCTACTCTCAGAATGTCCGGATGGAGGGAGGACTCCAGGAAACAACAACGAAGATAAAATTTGTTTCACGAACATCTGCGGAATTAACAGCAACATTGATGCTGTTCATCACTACTTGCAATTCAATCGTCCCGCCATGCTTTTCTTGGCGGAGACAAGAATCTCAGAGTCCGCACCGATTAACCATCTTAGCTTACCAAATTACGAGGTGCACTCCAATCTGAGAAAGAACGGGGGAGTTGTGGCCTTTGTTCGCAGCAGTATTTCCTGCTGCAGAGATGTTTCTCTGGAATCAGACCGGAAGGACATTCTGTGAGGCTTCGCCTAAACTGCAATACATCCCCCATATTTATTTGCTGCCTTTATCGAACCATAACTGGGATGACCCTCTTGAATTTTTTTTCTAAATAAAGGACTACTACTACTACTATAATTATACCTTGCCATACAATGTTTCTTTTCCATGGAGGAACCATCTCATAAAGTCTGTGAGAATGAATCACACCTAAAAATAATACGATAAGTATATAATATGGATATGCAATGCTTTGTTTTGTAACTTACCAACCTTCATCAAGAGAATAACTTGGTTGAAAGCCGCTGGATTTTCATACACACAAATATAATATTATAATATAATATATCCATGTGCATTAATTTTCCTAACTCAACAATACCACAGGTTGTGGAATTTGTTCAATGTAGCGAGGTATTTTTCAGTGATCGAGATTATTTGCAAGAAAATTATAAATTATGGTTCTGCTTTCCATTCATGTGACTTGAACGTCAAAACAATAACATAACCTCAAGCCAGAACTGTCAGTATGTCGGAAATCTAAAGCAGGACATACATGTATGTCAACGAAGAAGACGTAATATTATCGAAATCAAGGAGGCCATAAACGCGTCCTACAATTGTAGGGGCGACTGACGATACGGGCCTTAGAGATTTTCCACAACAAGGGCAGTTACGAATCAGTGGTTTGATGCTGTCGGAAAGGCAATAACAATGAGTAGGTACGGTTTATCGCCAAATAAGATATCTTGACCTGTTTTCATACCGTCCCTATCTCGTACTACCTCCGACCCCACAAAAATTGGTGTACTTATTTAATGCGTCCATATTTTAAATACCCCCTTGAGCAACTTGCAGCAATAAAACCAGACTTTAGAATTATTTCGCAAGCCAGGGTTATTTATCGTCTAATATGATTAGACTAATAGTCCTTCGCTGCAACACCAACCCCGAACAAAATCAGTCAAGCATTACACACTTTTCAAATTACTATTGAGCAACAAACAGAACATACATCACTTTTTGAGTACAATCTGTATAGCTAATATATTACTTAGGCTTAGATTTGTCACAAGTCACAATACTCGTATTTACGTATAAATCGTAAGAATTGTGCTGTAAACGTAAGTGATGTCGAAGAGAAAGCCTTTGGAATACCAAAGGATACCAAAAATCGCAATGCTCAGTTCCTATAGCTATAACTTGTAGTTAGTATGCCTCTGTCGCCATGATATGTCAGAAAGCAGCACAATGGTGTTAGATTATAAAAGCAAGTGTGAGACATCTAGGGGGGGGCGCGCCCCCCTCTAAATCTGCCACTGAGCAGGTCACGATTAGTGTTCATTCGATGTAACATGAATTCCCGGCACTATATCCACGAAGTTTCACAATCACATCTGCTTCCCTTGTTGGAAACAGTGCAAAATCCACTTTTTCAGCAGGACAATGCACGACCTGATGTCGCACGTGTTAGTTTACACTTTTTTACGCGTCCGGAGTAAATCTGCTTCAGTGGCCTCCTCGATCTCCAGACGTTTCCTACACAAACATGGGAGGCTCTACGTAACCAAATTCAGATGAGCTGGGATACAATACAGAAAGAAGAGATCAATCAACTAATCCAATCAATGCTACGACGACTTAGCGAATTAACATTATTAACATTAAGATGAGATACCTCAGCTATTTTGCGATATTTCGAGTTAAAATGTTAGTCACTTTCTATCTATCAGTAGACCTAAAACTATGCTCAAAATTACAGCACTCCTAGTCGGCGTTGCATTTTATATGTGAATACTATGCATAGTATTTTACTGTAATTTAAAGATCAAAATGTCATGCTACTCTTGGTTTACCCCAAAATACCCCTGCCAGACATTTTTTAATATTGGCACATCTCTATCATTCATTCATGTACTGAAGAAGGTCACCGTTTTGACCGAAACGATTACTACATTAAAGAGGAGTTTTAAATACATATGGTTTCATTGGCCATACAAACATGGGAGATTATTGACATGAAAGCCATATAGGTATATAAATAAATGCACATACGGCTGTTGAATCGACCGTCACAAATCTCAAGTCGTTCTTTTTGAGCATTGTGGAATTAAAGGGGTCTACCTAGAAATATGGCACAGGTGCTGATGAAGAATGTACATTATTGTTTTTTAAGTTGGTTATTCTAGGCATGGAGTGATGTTCATCGGTATTAAATTCAACATAAACCGTAATTCACGCTTCTCAGTTTGGCGGCGGGTACAGTTGAAGTGGAGTCCCTGGAGGGCCAGTCCAGACTCTGAGAACTCGGAAGCACTCGTTGCTGCCTTTCACAATCGAATCCTTCGTGGTCGCCCTTCACAGGGATATCCTCTCACCGTTGTTATGGTAATTAACAGCTTCCTGACCTGTTTTATATAGAAACTAGATGGGAACTAAGGATCAGGCTACATTATGCACTATTCCATATTTGGGAACAAGGTGATCAGTGGCGTAGCTTGGCGGCACGTTAGGTACTCGCTTATAAATTCTGAATATTGTGACGTGCCAAAATCACTTACCAGTAAGATGTCGCTTTTGTGATCAGCTGTTCACCTAAGTAAACGTAAAAACGTAATGGATACTCGTAGTTATACGACACAAATACTAAAAAGTAAAAAATGCATAAAATGAAAAATAAATTTTCAAAGACAAGTTCTTATTTAGCTATTCAAACGAACTAATAATGCAGAAATATTCTCCCGCTTGGAAATATGCCGTTTTATATTTTAAAAAATTCAAACAATACCGAAGTTCCTTAAGTTCAATCATTTCCGTCTGTCTGCCTGTCTGTTTGTCCGTCTATCGACCTGTCTGTCTATCGGTCTGTCCACTACTCCTTGGTATAACTTGGAAAGTACCGCTGGGATTTTGATAAAATCTTCACACAAAGTTACTACTATGCCAAGGTCAAAGAAGTTTTTAAAATTGGTTCAGAATTTGGGGTTGTAGGAGGTGGGTTGTTTGACGTTAGTATATTTATATACCTTAAAACACGCTCAACTAGCAAATATATTTGATAATTTTCGACTGTCCCTACCATAGTTTTGTATAATTGCTTCATTACTGCTCTTATAATGCAACTTTGTCTTAATATAATTACGAGTACCAGTAAAATAATTAAGCTTTTAAGAAGGATTTTTTTATAAGGTAGTCGTAAGAATTCTCTCAAAACAAAAATACAGAAGTTTTAGAACAAATTTTCATACTGTTTTTTTATAAACGCTTACACAACAATTTGCGAACATCAATGAAATTGTTTTGTTTTAGTGCTCTGTGAAACAATAATAATAAAATTAATTTATTAATATTTACTTTTTGAAAAATTATCATGCAATGGCAAAATGTCTTAATTTACTACTTTAGTGTTTATATAATGGTATAAGATGGTTCAATTGAATTATTTTATTACAATGTAGGCCAGAATAAGAGAAAATACAGAATGAAAATTTTGACCTTTTCTCTTAAAATTCAATAATAGACGCTTGAAAATTTCGAGTAATTGTCGGGCTGCTGAATCCGGCCTATCGATAAGAGAAGCTTCTAGGAGGACAGATCCTTACGCAGTATACTGCAGTGTGAACGAGCATGCTCAGGAAGGCCGTGGACAGCAAGCGAGGGGTTCTGGATAGCCCAGAGGAATCACAGTGCGGCAAGACCGCCGGTTAAGACTTTTGGCGCTGAGAGATAGATTCAGTAGAACTCAAGCCAACGCTAATCAGTGATCTGAAGAGCATGGAAGTATGCGTACGGTATATCGCCGAATACGACTGCGTGGCTTTTCTTATCGCCCACATTCGCTGCTACCTCTCATAGCAGAACGTCAACCGTAACCGGGAATGGAACCACGTGGTCTTTAGTGATGAATCCCGCTTCTGTCTGGGGATGCACGATGGTCTTGCAAGAGTGAGAAGGCGACGTGGTGAAAGACGTGACCCAGAATTTTACAGAGAGCGTCACGTTCACCTCACCATGGGAGTTATGGTATGGGGTGCTATTGCTTTTGGTAGATCACCACTAATTTTCATCAGAGGCAATATGAGAGCCCGATGCTGTATCCAGGAAGTAGTGGAGCCTCATCTTATTCTATACCTGAACACCATCCAAAACCCGATTTTTCAGCAAGAAAATGCCAGACCGCATGTTGCCAGAGCATCGTTAGCCTTCATGGATCAACATCGCATCAACCGTTTACCTTGGCCATCACAATCGCCTGACCTATCTCCAGTTGAACATTACTGGGACATGATAGGTCGCAGGCTCTTGAATTTGCAACACCCTCCACAGACTTTAGCAGCTCTTACTCACGAAGTTGCAGTATCCTGGAATGAGATACCCCAACATGATATGGACCACCTTATCAACACGATGCTTAGGCGTGTCAATGAGTGTATAAGAAATCGTGGATCCTCAACACATTATGGAACCAGCTTCTGCAGTTAGTTGACGGATCAAGCTGAAAATTTAATCATTTCACTAGTAAGGTACACTGAACGTATATGCCAAAAATTATTAACATCGGAAAAACATACGTAGATGTTTACCTTTTTCTGTCACTCAGTATAAATTCCATATATTTATACAACAAACATTCTTGCGCAGTAAAATATCAACCATCAGATTACAAAGCAACTTTCTGTCTGTCTGGTATTGGATGTATAATGCCTGCCTTTTCGTTTTATCAAGGATCATTAAAAAACAAATTATCCTCAGTGGGTGCAATTTAACAACAGAAAGAAACTTTTAGTGTTAGCCAAAACAAGAAAGCTGCATCTTAGATGATAAAACAACTTTTATAAAACTATGTTATTCTAACAAAACTGTTTTCTAATTGTTGCGTACTATGTTTTATATTTTAAAAACGCTTAAACAATTATTCGGTAAAAGCTGTGGGAGCCATAATAAAACAAATTGAAGAACAAAATTGCTACACAAGAGTGCTTTATTAGCGTTGTATGAACGTTGTTAGGACACTTACAAAACATAAAATTGTTAGTTGGGTACCTAAGCACGTATTGGACACATCAGAGGCTCGCTCGAAACATAGAATGATAAAGAAATATTTTTGTCACACGTATCTGAAAATCATCAATATTTCACACAAAATCATGCTCAATATGCAAATTTGTATGAGCATATTTGACTAACTTGATCCATTTAGTTTATTGTAAAACTGTTTTCCTCATAGGGGCCAGCTTGTGTCGAACATGATCCTTTATGAACTTTATGAACTACTGACAGCGTTGCGTCAAGAAAAATAGGACAATTATTGTACTGTGCGCATTGAAAAGGCAGCAGCAACTTGAACGTCATCCATGTTGTATTGCGTGCGGGCGACTCATCAGCTGTCAGCTAAGCACTTTAGCAGACTTCGCCTGCTTCCTGGTTCGCCAAGTTGAACGAGTGTATAGCCACGTACTTCGGCTAACTTCGAAAAATATACTAAGTGACATATAAATCCGAACACCCAGTTTAAATGGTTTTATTTTAATAAAATTTTGTATAAGTATTAATGAAGCAAAATAAGTAAATGATAAAAATTTCAAAATGATTGCACTGCTTTAAAGCCCTTTGACCTTTAATAATGTGTGGATGCACCCTGATGTGCTACGCATTCTCCAAGGCGCCTAGGCATACTTCTGATCAGGTGGTCAATGTCCTCCTGGAGTATCTCATTCCACGCAACCACCAACTCCTCTCGAAGTGCTTGAGTCCGAGGAGGACGTTGCAAATTGAGCAATCTCCTACCCATCATATCCCACACGTGCTCAATTGGGGATAAGTCGGGAGATCTTGGTGGCCATGGTAACAATGTACATATATATATATATATATTACGTGCCAATTAACAAAACATTTGTTTTTACACTTGTCATAAAAATTACTGATGACGTATACAATACATATAAAAGTATAATTGGTAAAAATAAAATGAAATATAATATAAAGGTGTAGTAGGCCAGATCACACACATAGGGGGGTCGCGATAAACTCATTCAAGGAATAAAAAGGATGTTTAACTAATTCTTGCCAAAGTGTATTTTTAAAATGTTTTAAAGTAAGATTCTTGGTAGTGTTTTTTAGCTTGTTATATACCCTAACATCAAGTGAGTTTTTATCTGAGATCTTTAGCCTGTGAGCGCTAGGTTGAAGTAGATTGGAATGCCTGGTGTTATATCCATGAACATCCGAGTGCATTGAGAATTTATGCTTGTTCTTATGAATCTCAACAAGGCTCTGATAGATGTACATTGCATAAATTGTAAGCATATTCAAGTTTATAAAGAGTGGCCTACAGTGGTCACGATAACCAGCTCCCGCAAGGATTCTAATTGCTTTTTTTTGTAATATAAACACTCTATTTATATGGGTAGAATTTCCCCAGATTAATAAGCCATATTGAATGTGAGAGACGATGAGGGAGTAATAAACACTAACAAGGCATTCATTACTAAGGCAAGTTTTTAGTCTGCGTAGTAAGAATATGTTTGTGGCTAATTTGCTACATAGGGTTTCAATGTGCTTTGTCCATTTTAGTGAGCTATCAATTGTTATGCCAAGCAATTTTACACATTTGTTTTCTGCAAGAGAAGAGTTACTAGTTACTACTAGCCTGTTAGTTTTGTCTGAGTTTAGGCATAAGCTATTCTGTTTAAACCAGTTGTTTGCCTTATCTTCAAGCTGTTTAGATAAGCTTTGTAATATATGAAGGTTTTTGTGACTCTTTATAAGGGTGGTGTCATCTGCGTACAATACACAAATATCTGGTAATAAGTAGTAATAAAGATCATTAATGTAAAGGGAAAAAAGTATTGGTCCAAGTATGGATCCCTGAGGGATACCATAACTTACACCTTTAATTTCTGAATGTTTATTATTACTACTAACGAGCTGAGATCTTCCAGTCAGATATGATCTAAAAAAGCACAGAGACACCCCACGAAAACCATAATAATGCTCCATTTTACACAGCAGCTTCTCATGATCCACACAGTCAAAGGCCTTGCTAAGGTCACAAAGGGTAATTTGTACACTTCTTCCCCCTTCAAGGCCCTGGACTATGTGGTCAATAAGTTCCGCTAGTGCATTTATGGTTGACAGACCTGGCTGAAAACCAAATTGCTTTGGATTAATGATGTTATTTATTTTTAAAAATTTTAAAAGGCGGTGCTTTAAAATTATTTCTAAAATTTTGCCAAAGATAGGAATTATGGAAATGGGTCTAAAATTGTTTACATCAGATTGGTCACCTTTTTTAAAAACTGGTACTACCTTACTAATCTTAAAAACATCAGGGAATATTCCCTGAGAAAGACAGGAGTTATATAGATGAGCAAGTGGTGTAGCAA